GGCACCACAACGGCGTTTGGCATCTCTGCTAGGCCGGGCTTCATAAAGGGCTCGTCCTGATAAGTTTTTTTGGTTGATGGTTAGCCACAGTAAAAGTATTCACGGGCTGTCTACCTCAAAAACATCAAGTCCCGCACGAAACATTGGGTTGGCTTTCAGATGTGCAACCAAGGCCACCTCATCAATCACTGGCCCCCTGCTTGCGTTGATTAATATGGCATCCTGTAGCAAGCAGTTAAAAATGTTTGCATGAGGTACTTTTCGTGCGTATAATATGTTCACCTTTTTCATGATTGAAAGCCTTTCCGTGTTCATCAGATGGTATGTTGTTTTGTCAAGTATTGGATGTAGACTCACCTGGACAAGGATCATAAAGCCATTTTATCAGTGTGATGGAATGAAACTGGACAGACCACATCCGCCTCTCTAAGAACGTCTTCCACCGTTGCAGCTCTTTTCCAAGTGACCGGAGTCTCTCCTTGGGACTTGAGAAACTCTCCATACGCTGCATGAAATGGTTACTGTTTGTTCATTACTGTCGAGTGATGAGATCTGGCATTCTCACCTGTGACAAATTTCTCCAGTCTCGTAGACTGATAGAGATCGTAGTAAATGACATCCATCTTAAACCCTTCAACCTGCACTCGAAAGCAATAAAAAAATACCGCACAAGCTTTCCGGAAGCAATGATACCATCATTCGTGCATAGGCCGATCCAATCCTCCCAGCACCGATGATTCCAACAGTTTGTCCCTTGAGCAAGTTCCCAATGAATCTGCAAGCAGGGACGCTCACACATCAGTCAAAACAGCACCCGGGAGCACAATGTACCTGCAAATTTTCATTTGGATTTTTTTCGGTCGCAGACAAGACTTACAAGAAGGGAAGCCATCCTTTGTATTTCCCAGCTCGCATAAACGAGTCCGACTCCACAATTCTCCTGGCAACAGCCAGCGTTAACGAAGCGGCAAGCTCAGCTGTCGTCTCGGTGAGAACACCCTGTAAGATCATTAAATGATGTTGTTACAAACTCAGAGAGATCTTTAAGAGCTAGAACAAAAGCAAAGAGAGAATGAAGCAACTTAACTGGAGTGTTCCCCACTGAGACTCCATTCCGCGTAGCAGCGTCCACATTAACGTTGTTGTAGCCCACTGCCATGTTGCTAAAGGCGTGGCCGCCGGCTTTCTTCAATGCTCCAAAGAGAGCATCGCCCCAGTCCTCAGTGAGCTATAGTAGAGAAACACTTGGTATTAAAAAGAAATCCAGCAAAGTGGAAAGGAAGCAAAGAACCATAAATTTTGGCTCTCGCGATACCTGGCCGATGACGCCGTCGCATTTGCTGCCGATGAGCGCGACAATGTCTTCCACGCTGAGAATGATCTTTTCCTCCGTGCAAACCTTGGAAAATAAATGCGCAGAGAATGAATCCAAGGACTCATGAGGGACAAGCGAGCGATCGAAAGCAAAAAGGACTCGAGGACGATTCTTTCTCGTCCGGAAGAGATTAAAGACCGAGAAAGCATCCAAGAATGCACGAGAAAGACGAGATTTCACGCAATTTCACGAAAGCTTCCAAAGAAAGGGGAGATCTCTCACCTCTACACGGCATCCGCCATCGACGAGGAGCTGGATCCATCGCGCTCCAGGCATCGGCTTGGTGCTCACGACGCGATATTTCCCCCATGGATTGTGAACCTCCACCTTGGCCATCGCGGGAGAAATGCCGCTGGCTCAGCCCTAATCCCATCCCAGCCATTGGTTTGCCACCCAACGGCTAGGATCGGGATGGCGCTGCGACACGTGGCGCGCGCTGGTGAGGGAGCGGCAGAGCCGTCGATGCGTTGTACTTTTTGACGTGGCGAGATCTGGACCCTAGATCCTGTCTTAGGGCAAACAAGGGGTTAAAGGACACCAAAATGACAAACGAATATGCGGACACTGTCTATTACAATTTTTTCGAATCTTTTTTTCCTCCCAATAGTCTGGAAATTTTTTGTTTTTCTTGTTTGTCTTGTCTTTTTTACTTCCCGAGAAAATTCCAAAAGAAAAGCCACAAAAAATATCATCTTTGGTTGGTTGTGTTGAGAAGACCAAATGCGCAAAGTCCAAAGGCGAGCAGCCCTCTGACTCGCCCAGTCTGCGACTGCCCGCTGCTCGATAGAATAGAAGCGACCAAAGAAGAAGGTCCACTTCCACTTCCACCGTATAGATCTAGACGTCCCAGCTTAGCGATCAAAGCTTATAAGCGCGGCCCTTTGATCGATCTCTGGGAAGAATCGTGTTCTTCCGGGTGATTGATTGGATTGATGTGCCTCTAGGACTATACAATTCACCACTGATCAACTGCCAGGAGGAAGAACAAGAGCGTGTGTTGTGCATACACATATATAAGAGTTTATTTTCTCTTCCTTTTTGGCGGTGGATTTGGCCGAGCCTCCATAAACTTTCCTGGCACCGCGAATGCGAGAATACAACGAGGTAAGCAAAGCCTGCCAGTCCATTGCACTGCACTTGCATTGCCATTGCATTGCGTTTGCCCCCCCTCCCTTCTCTCTCTCTCTTCCTTTTCATTCCATTGCCGCGTTGTTTTCCCGATTGGATCCCGCATCTGGGTCGATCTTTCAGATCAATCCGACTTGATGGGTCGATTTCTCTCGTCGCGATCTCTGGTGGGTCAATGCCGGATTCCTGTTGGCTATCGGGATTTGCTTGTGGGTCGTGTTAGCGCAAATGCCCAGACCGGGCATTTGCTGTAAGATGGTGTGTCCTCCCTTTTTTTCTCGTTGCTTGGGCACAACACGAGAAGTAGGGAGGAGGACCCCATGTCTGTTATTTCCCCACCCTCTTTCTCGTGTGGCCCTTTTGTGCTTTTGGTCGCATTCGCAATCCCCACCAGGATCTTCTCAAACAGTCGGAGCATTTAAAACCCACTACTTCTCGCTCTTGTCCATTGCAAGACGAGATTTTTTTCTTTTTTTCCTCCTTCGTTTCGTGCTTTCTTTCTTCTTTATGAACCCTCAGCCAAGACGCCAGCCAAGCCGGCAGTAGCAGCAGGAGCAGCAGCGCGGTAGGAATTTTTTTGCGTTTTTTTCTCACAAAAACCATCTTTTCTTCGTTTTTTTTTCTTTTTTATTTTTGCTCGATCTTTGTTGTTTCTCTTCGTTTTTGTTTGGTGGTCTTATTGTGATCTCCATTATGAGCTTCTTGTTTCCAGCATTCACTCATCCTTTCATTCAATTCCATTTCTTTCATTCATTCAGTCACTCGCGCAACTCCACTCAGTCACTCGCTCATTCATTCACTCATTCGGTTTTTTCTCTCTCGTTTTTTTTTTCCATTTCTCTCGTTTTTTTTGCGTGTTTTCTTTCGCATGAATCCATGGATTCATGAATTCCATCCATCTCTTTATCCCCTCAGGTAGTATAGCAGCAGTATAGAGCTGGAAAGTCGTAATGCATAACTCGCTGGCATACCTGTAGGCATACAGTACAAAAACTTTCACGCAGACAAGCAAGAACACACTTGTTCTTTCTCTATTCTTTTCTTCTCTTTTCTTCATTCACTCTTTCTCTCTCTTGAGCGTTTTAAACTTTTGCCTCTCGTAAACTCTCTCTCTCTCGCGGTGAGAGAATGAGAAAGTCGAGTCTCTCGATCGCTCGTATTCATGATTTTTCGTGAGATGTTTCTATACACTAATCCACCGCACGTGTACGTGTTTTGTTATCAGGAATGTCAATGGATCTCTTGGAGCTGCTGAGCCCCCATAGCTAGACTCTAGCTAGCTTCCTCCTCCATAGCTCTCGCAGTAAAGAAGGAGAACTTTAGAATCCATATCCATATCCAGGAACTCAGGAAGAACAACAAAGATGGAACCTCGAAGAAGAAGGGGTCTCGAGAGTGAGTTTTCTTCTTTGCTTGTTCTTGTGAATCTCTCCTTCTCACTCGTTGTGAATCCAGCGTTTTAATCTCGCGGGAGCCGCCGTGAGAGAGCGTTGAGCCCGTGAAAGGGAGAGACGGGGAGAGAAAGAAGAGCTCACAACTTCGTAGCCTTTCCTTCTCTCTCTTTCTCTCAAGGAAGACGTGATTCACTCCTTCCTCGCTTACCAAAATCATACTTTTCCACGGCGACCATCTCTCTCTCTCTCGCTCAATCTCTTTGAGACATGGGAGAGGTTGAAGCTGCAGTGACCAAGAACTCCAAAAATTCTTCTCACTGCTACTTCGAGCAGGCTCCTCCCAGTGACAGGAATGGCGACTATCTTCACTAGCGATGCTCACAAGAACCCCGGAGCTTGGACAGGAGGATTTGACAACAACACGAACAACTATCTTCCAGGCATGGTGATGATGCCTGTGCCGCTGCTTCATCCACACAAGAACACTTCGGGGCTGTGCCTTGGGCTCGTAAGTAACTCCTCTTCCTCTTTTGCCATCTCTAGAGCTCCATAGAGTTTCCATAGCTTCTCTTCCAGGAGCTCAGTGTCTAAAATTTGGATTTTCCACTCTTGCCAGTACTGATGCCTCGAGTTTAGTCGTGATTTAATGCAGCCAAGCGGGCTGGAGGGGTCTGGAAGTGGTGCTGGAGGTGGAAGCAAGCTTCCGGAGGATGAGAACAAATCCGGTGGTGGCGGCGGCGGCGGCGGTGGCGGCGGTGTTGGTGGTAGTGGCAGTGGTGGCGGTGGTGGTGGTGAGCCCGGAATGGAGGGAGCTTCTAGTGAAGATCAGGAACCGAGTGATCAGCCACCTCGCAAGCGGAGATTTCACCGACACACGCTCCGCCAGATACAAGAGATGGAAATGTAAGTCTTGAAAGTTTCCTCCTTCCTCGAGAATCTCTTTAAGTTCTAAAGCTTTTGCTCCTCTCTCTTGCTCTTCTCTCCTTTTTCTTGCTGGTTTCATTCACTCATTCACTCGTAGGTCCCGATGATGGTTTCTTTCGATTCTTTTAGTTTTTTATTGTCATTGTTACATTGACTCGTATCTTACCGATGTTTGTCTTCGTTTGCATTTTTTTTTTCTTTCAGGGTCTTCAAAGAATGTCCTCACCCGGACGAGAAGCAACGAATGCAGCTCAGCCGAGAGCTGGGGCTGGAGCCCCGGCAAGTGAAGTTTTGGTTCCAAAATCGTCGCACACAGATGAAGGTAAGCATCAAAGTCTTCGAGGAGAATGGAGGAAAAAAGAGATTTTTTGGTCATTTTTTCGAGAAAGAGAGTGCTGGTTCTGGGTGTAATTCGAAAGTTTTAGACAGGCACATCAAGAACGAGCGGAAAACTCCATGCTCAGGGCCGAGAACGAACGCCTCCGCTCCGAAAACATTGCGATGCGAGAGGCTCTCAAGAACGCAACTTGTCCGCACTGTGGCGGCCCCGCGACGTTGGGAGAGATGTCCTACGACGAGCAGCAGCTGCGAATCGAAAACGCTCATCTCAAAGACGAAGTAAGCTTTGCTGCAAAGGAAAAAATCGTTTTTTTTTCCTTCAAAAGTTGATGAAACTTTTCTTTCGCTCCATGCAGCTCGATCGAGTATCGTCTCTAGCAGCCAAGTACCTCTCCAAACCCGGTGGCGGAGCTCCTCACGGACTTAGCGTCCAGACGAGCTTACCGGGGACGTCGCTGGATCCCAGCGCTGCGGCGTTTGGACCACCGTCGAGCAGCGCTCTAGCAGTTACTCCGGGACCATCGATGCTGGAGCTTGCCACTCGTCCGGGGGGACTTTCACAGGTGGAGAAGCCGCTCGTCGCGGAGCTCGCGATCATTGCAATGGAGGAGCTGCTGGCACTGGCTCAATCGAGAGAGCCACTGTGGATCCTGGAAGAGAATGGAGCTAAGGAAAGCTTGAATGGCGAGGAATATATGCAGCAGTTTTCCAGAGGATTGGGACCAACTCCTGTAGGACTCAAGTCCGAAGTTACTCGCGACACTGGTCTCGTGATGATGAATGGAGCTGCCTTGGTTGACACTATCATGGACGCGGTAAAGCTTTTCTTTCCTTTCGTATTTTATACTGAGAAAAATCTTTTCTGTTTTTTCTTTTCAGGGAAGATGGATGGATATGTTCTCATGTATTATTTCTAGAGCTTTGACCTCCGAAGTTCTCTCCACTGGCGTGGGTGGTAATTGGAACAATGCATTACAACTTGTGAGTATACGAATCCTTTTTAGTTTCTTGTGAGTTCATAGTTTGCATTTTCTTTCTAGATTGCATTGCTGGTCTCGAGTTTGCTTCAAGTTCTCCTTGCGAGCTTTCAAGCATAGATTTTCTTTGTTTCTCTTGCAGATGTATGCCGAGTTTCAAGTGTTATCACCGCTGGTGCCGACGAGAGAGGCTTACTTTTTGCGCTACTGCAAGCAACACGCGGAAGGAGTGTGGGCGATAGTCGATGTTTCGGTGGACGGTCTGCGAGAAAATCCACCTCCACAGCTCCGGAACAGGCTTCGTCCCTCGGGGTTTTTGATCCAAGACATGCCAAATGGATACAGCAAAGTAAGCCATGGTTTTTCCTCTCTTTTTTTCACACCACCTTGCTGTTCCAGGTGACCATTCTTCAGCATATGGAGTACGATGATCGCCAAGTAAACAACATGTACCGCGGACTCGTGAGCAGCGGTCTAGCATTCGGTGCCAAGCGATGGCTCGCAACCTTGCAACGCCAGTGCGAACGTTTGGCAGTTCTTTTGGCCACCAACATCTCCCCTCGAGATCTAGGCGGTAAAAAACTCTTCTTTTCTAGCGAAAAAACAGATTTTTCTTTAGTTTCTAGCTATGGTCGTGCTGATCAATTCTTGCTTTTCTTTGCAGTGATTTCCAACGCTACCGGACGTCGCAGCATGCTCAAGCTGGCGCAGCGAATGACCAATAACTTCTGCGCGGGTGTGAGCGCATCGACGGTGCACACCTGGACGACTCTCTCGGGCAGCGGCGAGGATGACGTGCGAGTCATGACGCGTAAGAGCATTGACAATCCTGGGGAGCCGCCAGGAATCGTTCTAAGCGCCGCTACTTCCCTCTGGATGCCTGTGAGCCCCCAGAGAGTTTTTGAGTTCCTCCGGGATGATCGTCTCAGGAGCGAAGTAAGTTTGCCATCTTTTCTTCTTCGTTTTACTTGGTTTTGCGCGATCGCTTCACTCACGTATCAATGAATTCGCAGTGGGACATTCTTTCGAACGGTGGCTCCGTCCAAGAGATGGCTCACATCGCAAAGGGTCATGATCCAGGCAACGTTATCTCGCTCCTCCGTGTGAACGTAAGATATCTCCCTTTTCTTCTCTAGTTCTTCGTAAATCTAAGCTTTTTTCTTCTTGCTCAGGCTCTAAACACCTCCCAGAGCAACATGTTGATCCTCCAAGAGAGCAGCACCGACGAGTCCGGCTCTCTCATCGTCTACGCTCCGGTAGACATACCAGCCATGAACTTAGTGATGCAAGGCGGCGATCCAGCCTACGTTGCTCTACTTCCTTCCGGATTTGCCATACTCCCGGAGGGCCCTCGATCGATCGGCACCACCCCAGAGACGAGCAGCCGAGCAAGCAGCGGCGAGCCGGGGTGCTTGCTCACGGTAGCTTTCCAGATTCTCGTCAGCAACGTTCCAACCGCGAAGCTCAACTTGGAGTCCGTGACAACGGTGAACAGTCTCATCTCGTGCACTGTCCAGCGGATCAAGACGGCTCTCAGCTGCGAGACTTAAAGAAACATCGGATTTTACGCAGGAAAGTCGGAATAAGGTGGGGTTTGTTCGGGAAAGATGGCAGAAGGAACAGGATCGTCGACAGGAAAAAACTGGCAAAAATGGTGGGATTTAGCAGGGGTTTTAGAGGGACAAACAAATGAAGAACAGCAACCAAGAACACAAAAGGGGGATGGAGTCAAGAACGCACCACAGACCAGATTTTAGAATCCTTGCCTCGTGGTAAAGCATTGGAGACGAAGAAGACATCAACGACGACGAAAAGACGTGGTTTGCTAATTTTTATTCGAGAGGAGAGTGAGAGAAGAGGTTTTTTTTTTTTGGATTCCTTCTTCTTCTTCCTTCTTCATGCATACTTTCTAGCGCAGCGGATGGATTGAGAGGCCTTTTTCTGGTTCTTCCTCCTCGATTCTTCCTTGCGCTAGAAGCTGTGCATGGTGCTTCACCACTCGGCAAGGAGCGTGGTTCGGGTATTGACTTTGTTTACCAACTTGGTCCTGTTCTTCATTTTTCTGTGTTCTAGTAGTCTTTTTTTCTTCCATTTTTCATCTTCAATCCTGTTGTAACTTGGTACATTTTAATCTGATTTCATTTTGATCCAAAGTTTCCAAGCTTGAAGTTTCAAGATCAACTCCAGAGTTTCAAGAGGTTAACTTCATTTTATAAAGTATGATTATAAAGATGAGGCTACAAAAAACCCGAATATCTGGTTTACTGTGCAAAGCTTGGTATTAGCTATCGTTGCTTGCTGCTCAGCTGGTGCTACGTGCTGCTGCTAGTTGCTTGCTATTGCTAGAGCCCATGAAATTTTTATTGCTAGAGAAGGAAATGACTGTCCTTAAGCATGTCCGAAATCCCTTGTTGGCTTTGTGCTGTTTAGCATAAAATGTAAGCTAAGCTTTTCTTTTCTTTTCTTTTCCTGCTCCAAATTCTGGATAAACTTGATGACACACAATAGAAGCCCTTGAAATAGATCCTGTGTATGTTTGTTTGTCTGCCATGAAATAATGACACTTATTATGGACATATGCAAAAATTTGGCATGCCATAACCAAGATTACCAATTTTAACTCTTGTGATTCTTTTTCTCAATTTAGTATTCAATTGAGTATTCCCTATCATCCTCAAATTGATAGCATGGGCACACAACTTGAGTCAATCAAACAAGCTTAGAGGAAAGCATCCAAGTTGAGCTTTGCTTAGCATCCTCATATTTACATATATGTTTTAATTTACTTTTGCCATTGTAAAGGGTTGTGCATTTTAGGGTTCTTTTATGATGATCCGGCAGTCACGTCAATATTTAGAACATATATAGTGAAGGGTTTAAAGATGTATATTATTAATCACTTATAAGAATTCAAAGAATTCTTATACATGAAATGTCACTTATTCTACATGATCGTGATGTTTGTGGAGTCTATAATAAAACCTTTCCTTATTCAAAAGAACATCTACCATGTTAACATTCTCAATCCAAGTCCTCATTGTCATTTATACTTTTAGAGGACATTGTATTAAGCTCCAACTAGATCATGTATTCAAGCTTGAGCACTAAAGCTTTAATAAATTGGCTATGAGATACTAAGACTGAGATTTATAAACCTCTCTTCTGCAAAAATATAGAGATCACCACAAGTAAATTCAGCCTCTTGATATTTATAAATAATATAGTCACTCACAACACAATTGTATGATAAAAATGTGGTAGTGGCCAATTAACACTAAATGTGGACTTGAGCCTTCTTTTGTGCATTCGATGACAAAACAACAACTCAATCTTATTTTGATTGTGCTTGTAAATTGCTCCCAATTACAACCCAGAAAACACTATTCAGTATTAAATAGTGTTTTTTAGCTCTCTTGTTTTTGTTCTCTCATTTTGTGTCGGAATATAGGTCAAATGTGAAATCAACACATCACTTAAAAAATTAGGGTTGGGCCAATATATTTTCAGCTTAAAAGTCTTGTTTTAGCCAAATGGTTTTGCATAGGTGGCATCATTTTGTCTTGTATAGATGGATATCCTACACCCTTAATGCAACTGGATTAAAAAAATGCTTTGATGAAACCAATATGGTGAAGGAAATATTTCCTTTCTGTTAGTTAATAGAAAAATTAAGCTGTATAATGCACATATATTCTCATGCACCATCCAAATTTGACTTTGCCATAAAAGTAATGTATCTAAAAGAAAATTTGTTGAGAAATGTTACTTGTTATCAATGTTTTATATTTGATTTTCAAACAAAAAAATGAGACAGAACACTTTGCTCTATTCATATAGAGGGGATTAAAAAGTTGTAGAAGTTGTCTACAAATCTTAATTTCTACATCAACAATAAAAATTGTGAAATATTCTTTATTACTATTATTACTATTCCTCTTTGTGATAGTTTGGTATATTTATTAAAACTTTGTTCAACAAAATAATGAATATTCTAAGAACATATACTGCTGTAAAACTAAATAAACCCTCATTGTTAATTTTTTTTATACATTATAAGCTTGTAGCCAGGGGTAAGTCATTTATTATTAAATTTCTAAAATAATTATTGGCCTTCAAGTAAAGTCTTAAATGTTACTCTTTATATGAATGAATTCCAACCGGAAACTATAAATTTTTCAAATAATTAACTGATAATTGATAATTATTTAGTATTCTCAATGCAACACAACATGCAATTGCCACACAAAACAAGCATTACAAACTTTCTAAAATGGATTATGATTTATCAGAAACTTTCTTTATTTTCCAGTTAATTTATGGGAAGAGATAAGATATACTTGTTTGAGATAGTTTTATTGTATATATATATATATATAATATACTTAAAGGTGATTGTTGATAGTTTAGTTTTTATTTTTAAAATATGACTGATCGTGGGATGCAATTATGAGAGGAACGCTAAAAAAGAAAAATTTAGACGAAGAATGTGTGCTTCCTTCTCGAGTGTCGTTTTCATGCGCCACGCAAATCATAACAAAGAAAAGTAGACGCTGTATTGTAATGTTTTTTTAGGGTTTATGAAATGGCGAGAGAGCCCCTGCCGCTGCTGCCGATTCGCGATCCAAATCTGAGGCGCTGTGTCAACGCCGCAGGAAGGAGCCACGTCCTGGTACGGTTTGTGTCAAGATCTAATCGATTTGTCCGAGATCTTGGAATTCGTGCTCTGTCTTCCATTTTTTCTCGAACGCTTCAACTCTTGGCGTCTTTTCTTGCTGTTTTCGTTCTTTTCCTGATTTGATTTTCGCGATACTTTGTGGTGTCTGCGCTCCTGAGAATCCCATCGAAAGTTTTCACTTTCTTATGCTCTAAACTTAACAGTTTTTCTTTTCTTTTCTTTTCTGGTTTTCCCTTGCAGGAGAAATACTGGCAACGAAACCATGATGCTCAAATCTCGAAGCTATTCCAATCATCTGGTACTCACCTCACACACACAGGCAGTTGAGGTAAGATCTTTCTCCCAGCTTTTCCTCTACACGCTTTCTTCGTGCTGAAACTTTCAAGTAACTTATCCAGGTCTCTGTGAAAGCGTACTTCCCGACTCCCCATGGAACACCGGACAGACACTTTCCAAAACCCAGTCCCAGCTCGCGAAATTCGACGCTGCATGGAGATGGTAGGCCTTCTCCTTCGAAAACGAGCTCCTGGAAGAGCGTGCTTTACTTTTGGAAGCGTCCGAGAGATCATACACCGAGTTCCAAAGAAGAGCACAAGCACCAAGTTCCAAGGGTGAGAAAGTCTGTTTCCGGGCCGATCTATCACAACGACGACACAGCCAGTGTGTCTATCCGCTCCTACTCAAATCCGGTTCTCGCTTGCGGAGGTTTTTCAAGAACGGAGGAGGAAGACGATGGAGCGGCTAATCATCCCTACACGCCTTGAAGAGGAAGCCCCGA